CCGCCAGGCGGACGGTTCTACCCTATGCCGTGCCCCAGACCAGCACCAACGTGTCGTCGGCGTAGCACGTCACTGCCGAGTTCGGAGGTATCGGCGTCCGGAGCACTGCGTTGTACGCGATGTTCCACAGCAACGGACCCAACACCGAACCCTGCGGGACCCCGCGGTGTACAGCCCTCCCGGTCACCCCTCCGCCCCGGACGGTATTCCCCGTGATCGGCCTTGCGGCAAAACCACATTGCCTCGGACTTCTCAGGGGACACCCTCAGTCCCAATTCCATGATCTCGGCGACCACGCGGGCCACCGCCAACTCCGCCAGGCGGAAATGCTGTTGAAGGCGTTGACCACATCCAGCGACACGGCCAGCGCCACGTAACCACGCCGCTCGCCCCCCGGCTGTTGGGAAGTCTACAAAAGATTCAACACATGATACTGCGGCATTTAGTCAAACTTAGCAAATTATCCCTATTAATCGTGGTCGAAATTTAACCAGCCAACTTTCACAGGTTGAAATAACAAAAGCATAACATACCACGACGAAGAAAAACGAGTACAAGTCGAGCCAGTCAGAGTCCAATTCCACCGCTCCATACTGAAGAAACACTAAGATTTTGGAGGACCAAAATCACTCTAAGAAGGGGGTTATGTGACATCAATCATATCTCAATCTACATCAGAGATAAGACATCAAACCTCAAGCTTCGGACTCCTTTAGACACATCACCACCTTATCATCATAGCCTACACCAAGGCTGTGACGCACCTCAGTTCACATCAGAGATAAGATATCGACCCCCGACCTTCGGACTCCTTTGGACACATCATCACCTTATCATCATAGCCTACACCAACTGGAAGTATCCGTCGTCGTTGTACAATTGATGTAACGTTTATTAACACAAGTATGGGTCTTACAGAGTTGACAAATAACTGCGGTGATTAGACACTAATGACAAAGTCTAAGGTTCGATAACGAATCCGCGGTCAACGGGATGGCAAATTTACTTTTTCGTTAAAGTCTAAGTTGGACTTTATGTTAAAACGTGGAGTAATCACTGGTCATAAAGATGTGATTTAACTCGTTGGTCAGATCGTACGAGAGAGTCTCTCTGTCACGGTGACGCTGCAGAGGAAAACCATGATGGGGTGTGTCTAAGGGCACGAGATCATCGGATTCATGGAAAAAAGCCTTCGTTCGGAAAGTGAGGGAAATTGACGTTGCTGTTAATTGGTCAATTTCAATGTTGGTGGACAGAGGAGGATGCTAGCCGCCCTTGAGGGAAAGTTGCTAACAGGAAGCGACGTTCGTGAGAAAAATAGATTTCCCCTATCTTCTCGTAGTTGGAACAAAGACTGTTTATCTGTTTGAGGGACCTTAGTTAAGTAAATCTTAAGATTTATAACGGGTCCTCAGATTAGCTGAACATGTACTCTGGAGATGCGTCGACATCTGGTAATCATCTTATCCGAAAAATAGGGTCTGCGTGTGGCGAGCCACGGGACAGAAACCGTTGGAATGTTTACTGTCGGGTGCCGCTACAACTATTTCTTTTTAAGGAGAACTATACTATTACTCCATACCTTTGTTAGGCGAAACGTTCATCCCTTCACCGCTGCTACGTTCGGCGACTGGTTGTCGCCTCAATCTCAAGCTCATTATCACAAGTCTCGAACAAATACAATCGGATTGAATGACGACAATTGCTTAATTACGGCTATGGTAGAATCTAGATTACAGTGTTAAGCGATTTTCCCAAAGTTCCAAAGGGAAGGCTCCGGCGTCCTTTCATCTTCGACATATATATGCATCCCTATTTTGTTAGTTTATTAGTCGCCCTTATTTAATAGTATTTTATATGTGTCTACATTTAGTTAATCTTTTATTAATGTATTGTACCGTGCATTCGTTTGAGTGTTCGAATCGCCACTCGCGTTATTTGCATGTTGTAGTTTTCATTTTTTTCGTTACGCTACGTGCGGAGCGCGGGACGTGATACTCCCCCTCTAGGGGTTCAAATTTCCAAAGGAAATTTGGCTGATCGTGTCTCCGTTTTTGTTTGTAAATCTCGACACTCATTCCCTACACACACATAACAAAATTTTCTATTATTAACGTGTTTTGTATTCATTGTTTTTAATCTTGTTCTTTTATGCGATTTCTTAGTTAATTAATGTTGTCAATGAATAATAACGTGTATCATTTCTCAGGGATAAGGTCCGCTGCCTCTTGGCTTCTTATATATTATGTGTTCTTCTCCATTAATTCATCAATCGTGAATAGCTAGTAGTTTAATAGTTAATTGCAATTAATAGCAAACTTTTGATTTATTTTGTATTTCTCTGATCTCTATTAATTTTTAATATTCTTGTTACCGTATAATAGTGTAATATTATATTGTATTAATTATTATTTATTATTTTCTTGTTACAATTTTCCATTTGTTTTATTATCATCTTATTAAATATTTATTTCTTCATCGAAAATATAATTTATTTTGCAACGTATAAAAGTTACTAAATGCACGTATCGATCAGCATCACTTCCAAAATGGCCGCTTGTGAATGTCCCTAGTATAGTGACTTTTATTAATATCGAATTGTTTATCTGTTAATTATTTGTAACTTTATTTTAGTAGATGACGTATAATTGAAATGGGAATAATATTATTTTGTGTTTATTATAGTATAAAATTATTGTATGTGTTTCATTGCGCATGCGTAAAAGCTTCTTTGTGCTCGCAACGATCAGCATTAATTCGAAAATGGCCGCTTGTGAATGTTTCCAGTGTTTTATAACTTTTTATACAATACCAGAATGGTTATTTATCTGTTACTTATTTTAACTTTGTTTTAGTGCAAGTGAAAATTGAAATGACAATAATATTGTTTTGTGTTCATTATAATGTGTATGTTTACGGTGTGTTACTTTAATATTAATAGCACGTGCATTGTGTTTTATTTAATACCAAAATAATCATTTATTTGTTATTTGCTTCTAATTCTATTTTGGTGCAATTGAAAATTCAAATGGCAATAATATTGTCTTTGCGTTTGTTGTATATATACTATGTGTTATTTTAATATAATAGCTTGTGGATTGTATTGCTGCTGAAATCCATAAATTATTAATAGCACTGTTTCACTGCTTGGTTATGAGTGGTTTATATTTATACAGCTTTTGTTTATTTGATTTAATTTAATATGTCATAATGTATTGTATCACACAGTCACTATTGCGTAATATAACTTTACTTCTTTATACCAGATTCAATATAATGATACTATAATAGATCAATACAATATAATAATCTCTTATTCTAATCATGTTTGTCGTTGATACTCAATTAATCTGTCTTGATTAATTTCTAACTTATTTCTATATTTATTGGTTGTTTCTATTTCCTTCTTATTAGTTTTTCGTTACTTTATACTTGTGATTTGCTGTTATTTCATATTTGTATGGTATAATTTTTAGAGCTAATCCATATATTATTAATTAGAGCTTGTGTATTGAATTATTATTGTTTATAGGTTCTTTGATTCTATTTTTTTCAATGCTGTGTCATGTGTTTGGAACATTTACACATTGTGTGTTTTGCATCGTCTGGTTCTTCGTTACATTCTCAACACTTATTATGAATACTTTTATTTATCCTACATCTGTAAGTATTAAAATTGTCATTTAATTTGTTTAATTTAATATGCTTATAGTGTATCGTGTCAACGACTACTATTGTGTATTATAATATTAATTTCTATATATCAAATTGAGTATAATAATATAATATAGGTTAATGTAATATATTATCCTTTTATTTCAGTCATATATGTTGTTGATATTCGGTTAGCCTATCTTGATTGATTTCTAACCATTTTCTATACTTATTGGCCAATTTTATTTTCTTATTAATTGGTTGTTACTACATAATTGTATAATACAATTTGAAGCTAGTCCATATCTTATTAGTTAAGACTTTGTTCACTATATTATTACTGCTTATAGGTTCTTCAACTTTATTTTCCAAGTCTGTACACTGCGTCGCTCACATTGTGGACATTTACACAGTGCATGTTCGGCATCATCTGGTTCTTCGTTACATTGTCAACACTTATTATGACTATTTTTATTTGTGTTAGATCTGTAAGTATAAAAAAAATGCCATATTTTGTAAGTATCCGCATAGTAAGATGGTCTGTCTCTTTTCTTGTTTGCGAAAACCGCAGTGTCAACGTTGTGTTATTTTGTTATAATGTCACTAAATTTTTCTTGGTTTTTCAGTTTCCTGTTGCCTTCTTAACTGTTCCAGTAGTATCTGCTTTAATACTCTCTATTCAATTAAATTTGGTAGTAAGCTTCTCATAACTGTGTTGGCTTTTGTGTATATGTGAGTGGTGAATTTCCTACTATTGTCAATTTCTATTCCAAAGTATTTTATAACATTCTTTCTTTTTCAGGTTATAATTGTCAATCTTAATATTTATTACCTTCAGTATTCTCGTACCTGTAAGTGAAATGGTCTCGGTTTTTTTTTTTCATTGGCCAACTGTAAGTCTGTTGTCGAACATCAATTATTGACTGTTATCACCACTTCTTTTAGTTTAACTTTAATATTAAGTTATAAATGTTTAATATCATTTTTTTTCCTTTTTTTTTTATTAAGGCAATTGAGGTTAATCTATCCATTTCTTTCAGCTGACCATCATATACTATGTTCTACAAAAATGGACCCATAACCAATCCCTGTGGGATTTTTGCATATACATTTCTTTCTACGATAATTAATTATGTACAAGTCCCATTGATTTATAAGGTACTTTTCTCTTTTTAATCTCTTCCAATATCTTTGTTTATATTATTGAATTAACGCATTTTATATTTAAATAGTGGTTAGAATACATAGTAATTTCTTTTTTTTTCTTTTAGGTTCCGCTATCTTCATTATTCGACAAGCAGTGTTATACTATATACCACCATACTACGTTGCCTCTTAAAATCGTTTTGGCTATTGTCTATTTCGGTTGTGTGCTAGTTTTAACTTGTTCAAGTGTACTGTTCGCAGAATCCCCTTCATTTCAATCTTGACGTTTTGATTCTGCAAAATTTCTAACACTTTATCCGGCCGTGTATATTGGTCAGAAAATTTTCCTTTGCTAGGTTCCTTAGTAGATATACCAGATCTCCTACTTTGTAATTTTGCGGGTTGATTCGTCTGTCGTAATATTCTTTTGACTTTAACTGGGATTTCATCAAATTTTCTCTTGCCATTTGCTGCACGGTGTTGATTTTATCAAACAGGTCTCTGAGATATTCCGCATATGTTGGTTCCATGTTCTCTTCGATTATCATTTCACCAGTGGGTTCCCTGGCCAAGTGCCCAAAGACTAATTTATGCGGAGAGAATTTCGTTCCTTCGTGTACAGAGGTGTTATAAGAAAACATGGATAATTCCACTTATTCGTCCCAGTTTCTGGAATTTTCGATGTATAACTTGAGATATTCGGTGAACACGTGGTGAGATCTTTCAATTGAACCGCTGCTTTATCTATGGTATGCCGACGTGGTGTATTGTTTGATGCGAAATCTCTTTGCCACTTTCTTCATTAGCGAAGATGTAAAGTTCGCTCCCTAGTTGGTAAGAATGGTGACCCGAATCGGCAAATAAATCGTTTTACGAAAACGTTCGTTATCTGAGGAGATCCCTTCTATCGGAATCCCGATCGAATACTTTGTCAATAAATCTTGAATAGTTAATATATATTCATTTCCCTTTTGTGTTCTTGGTAATGGACCGACGATATCCATACTAATTTTGTCGAAAGTTTTGCCCGGTGTATCTGTGAGCACTATTGGTTGTTTTGTTTTTATTCTAGTCAGCTTCTTCAATTGGCATTCCTTACAGGTTCTTATATATTCTTGAATTTCCTTCTTCATGTTTTCCCAGTAATAATATCGTATTCTTTGATAGGTCTTCGTTACTCCTTTGTGTCCCGCTACGCATGATTCGTGTTTCTCTTGTATTATATTATTTCGTATTTCAACTGGTGATGTGATTACTTCCCCAGTGCAGGTGGTGATAGTTATGGTTTTTTCCATAAATACTCCCTTCAATTCCCTGATTGCGCGTCGCCAGGGTATTTCTTCCAAATTTCCTTTACTAATGCTAAAGGACGTTAATTATTTTTCGCTTACTACGTTCAGTAAGGATCTCAATGAATTTAGTAAACTTTCTGGCGTTATAGGAATATTTCGGTTTTCCTTTACGGGTAGGAATATGATGTATTTTTCAGAGTCTTGATTCAACCTTGCTCTTTTCAACATTAGGTCTTCATAATGCGGCAGTTTCCCTGCTTCCTTCATTTCTAAGGCTCCTTCATTTATCGGAGCACACTGTATATCGACGAATATTACTTTATGATCATTCACTCTCGTAACTGAGTCTCGCGTTTCCGAAATTTTTAGTTCCGCAAGTACCGTAGGTTTCGCGTCTTCTCCTCGTTGCCGAGTTGCTTCAGAGTCCACCGTAGAAGGCTCTTCCTCACTTATTGCTTCGATGTCCTCTATTTCTCGATCGGCTACTTCCTCGCCTGTGTTTACATCGATTTCGGCTAATGCTTGGTCAAAATATTTTACGAGTGTTTCTTCTATGGCAAGGTGTTTTGAAGTAAAGGCTTTTCCTTGTTTTCTCGGATCATAAAACTAAGGCAAGACGCGTGGTTTAGCTTCAAATATGGGAGGGTCCTCGGTTGAGATAGCCAATTGAAATCTTTAGATGTGAATATCGATCTGGCGAGTCTTCTCGCTTCCTGGTTGGCAGGCACACACCTGGTGGGTTTCTAGATAATGCATCCGCGTTTGCATTTGTTCGTCCTTCTTTGTATTGGATATCGAACTCGAAGTCTGCTAATTTCAGTTTCCATTTCCAAATTCTCGACGTGGGATCCTTAATGGAATTCATCCATACTAACGGTTTGTGGCCTGTTACTATAGTAAATTTCCTACCATACAGGTATGGTAGGAAATGCATCGCGCAGTAGACGATTGCTAGACACTCTTTTTCTATGGTGGAGTAGTTTCGTTCGGCGGGGTTTAGTAATCTGGAGGCGTACGCAATTGGTAAATCCTTTTCCAAACGGTGAATCCTGATTCAATACTCCGCCTATTGCGTATCCTGATGCGTCTGTCGTTCCCGCATGGAGGACTTGCTTATGTAGGTCTATGGGGGCTGGCAAACACACGTTCCCGCAGCCAGGAAGGACCGTCGGGAGAAGCGTCCCGCTTATGTGAGTCCTCTATGTACACCTCAGGGAAGGTCGCCGGGAGTGTAAGCGTAAGGTACGGTTATACTCTCTCTACGTGGCCTTGGGTAGTAGCGCACCCACGATCCTGATGCCAAGGATGGTACCGTCGGGGTAAGTTCCCGGCTACTTTGTACCTTGAGGCCCCCACTTACGTGAGTCCCATCTGGATCTGCCGAGCACATCCACACGATAGTTCCACCAAAGACTTAAGATGGTACCATGGGGGTCGATTGTAAGCCCGGAGGGAGTAGCGACCCCTCTGCTCGGCCAATTATGGGTTTGGACTCGTGGTGGCAGTGGTTGATGGCCAAGAATGGCCTTCGGCGGGTGGGCAGCGTCCCGCCTGCTCCGGAACCGCCCTGGAGAGACGGTAGGGCTTAGAATGCGCCTCGTTTGACCTGAGACGAGCGACAGCCCCTGCAGGCTTAGCTAATCGAGGTAGCAAGGCACTGGGTGCCTTGCGCGATGGTAATCCCACCCGAAAGCACCCGTTAACGAGGATTGACAAGGAGTGCCTAGCAGTAGGTTCTGTGTGGCGATAGGTTGACGCCGAGGAAAGTACTCGCTAACGAAGTCTGACAATACTTGATGCATCTGTCGGGAGGTTGAAGAGTTTGGAAAAATCCGGATATTGTAGAATAGGTTTTCTACATTTTCTTGATTTTCCAATCATTTAAAGGCAATGTCTTTCTTCAATAGTTGCGTTAATGGCTTTGCAATTTCGAAGAAATTAGGTATGAATCTTCTATAATATCCTACTAGTCCCAGAAATTGCTTGATATTTTTTGCTTTCTTTGGTCGTGGAAATTTTGATACTGCTTCGATCTTCTTTGGATCTGGTTTTATACCATCTTCACTGATTATATGTCCCAAATAACTTCGTGTCGTAGGAATTCGCATTCGTTGGGTTGCAATCGCAATTTGGCTTTCCTTAATCTTTCCATTAATTTGTTAAATTTACTTTCGTGTTCATGAAGAGATCTTGAATAAATCACTATGTCATCCAGACAGCCCAATAGTTCCAATCTTTGCAATCCTGATAGCACTGAGTTCATCACGCGTTGAAATGTTGCTGTGACATTTTTTAATCCAAAGGGCATTCTTTTGAATTGAAAGTACCGTACGGTGTAGAAAATGCCGTTTTGTGGGCATCCTCCTGTACCATTCGGAGCTGATGGAAGCCTGATACCAAGTCAAACGTGGAAAAATATTTCGCACTTTCTAATTGATCCAATATTTCTGTGATGTTGGGGAGCGGATAAGCATTTTTGTATTGTATTTTCAATCGCGGGGAGACGCAATCGCGAGGAGAGACGTCAACTGGAGTCGTAAATTCCCGTTACGATTATAATAATCGACACCACGAGTTGATCGATCCCCCGATTTCGGTTTAAATAATAGCGGTGATTTAGTTAGTATAACACTGTGATTCACAGAATTATAAGTTATATATTTCCAACACTTAAGTTACACTGTCGGGTAGGTATACATCGTAGATAACAACTTGTCGCACGAAGGTAAGATAGATATGCACACTAGAGCAAGGCTCTTATAATTGAATTTGTTATGTTAGTGAACGTAGCACTAGAGGATGCTTAATAGAGGAGGTGAATGTTCGATATTCCCGAGAACCGACTTAGGTAGTTGATGTGAGTTGTACTCCTCTAGCGTTGTGCTTAGTTTTAGATGTTAGGCATTAGATTTTTGTACTTAGTTGTTGACTCTTCTAGCGGTGTAGAAGAAGTAAAGTTGGTTGACGATGCTGTGTCGGACGAAAGCTAGTGATGGATGTGTCTAGCGCACGGCACCATCGGATTTGTTCATGGCATTTTTGGTCAGGAAAGTGAGGGCAGTATACATTGCTTCTGATGGATAAACGAAGGTTGGTGGACTAGGAAGGGTCTTAGCCGCCCTCGATAGAAAGTTGCTAGTAGGAAGCATCGTACTTGAGAAAAACTAACTTTCCCTTGTCAAGCCGTAGTAGACAATAGTCTTTAGAAATGATTCAGAAAAAGGATATTTGTCTGAAGGACCTTAGCTAGCAAATTACTGGGATTTATGATGGGTCCTTAAGACTATTGAGAGTACGCAGCAAGTATGAGCGGACATCTGGCGTCCGCCTGGCCCGCGGTGTATGGCCTGCTTTAGGTAGAGGGTCGCCCGATGTAACAATCACCGATCATTTTATCATTAAGCTTCCTATAATCAATAATTAATCTCCAACGTTTGTTTCCTTGCGAGTTTGGTTTCTTCGGCACAATCCATAACGGAGAATTGTACGGAGATCTCGATTGTTCTACGACATCAGTGTCCAGTAATTCTTGAATTTGACGATTTATCTCTTCTCGATATGCAGGTGGGTAACGATATTGTTTAATATTGATTGGTATATCATCCGTTGTAATTATTCGATGCTCTAGAATTTCAGTTCCTTCCAGCGTATCTCCTGGAATATGAGATCTATCTTGATTCCTCCGAATTAATTCTTCGACGTCTTTTTCTCTCCTCTTTGTTCAAATGTTCGTAGTAATTCAATTATTTTCTCGAACCCAGTTTCTTTTGATTTTGAAATTGCATTGCTCGTCATGCAAGAGAGCGAGGTGAGGTTTTCAAATTCTTTAATTACCATCGTAGGTGTGGTAAGTTCGTAATCTCTCGATGTGGTATTTATTATTCTCATATAACCTCGTCCATTATGGTTCCTCACAACTGCATTACCAAACTGGGTTCCCTTAATTGGCTCGATTTTTGGGATAAATCCCTCGTATATCTCCGGATTTACAATGTTGATTGAACATGGTATCGAACACCATGATCAGCAATGAGTCATCAACTACATAAAAAATAATTTCTTTTTTATATTTACGTGGAGGAAATCCGCACGGACACCAGGCCGCTTCTGGGGAAAGTGGCGTGGTAGTGTGGGACTCCAACTGTATAAAACCTCCATGATGACCGTCCCGGCGGCGATCGAGAGAGGCCCGGGAACCGGTGCGAGCGACACACCGCCCCCCCC